GTCTCCATCAGTCTCCCCCTGTCTCCATCAGTCTCCCCCTGTCTCCCCCTGTAGGTGAGTGTCGTCGCCTCCATCCTCTCTCAGCTCCACAGTTAAAACATTTGTTTCCTGCTCAGATTATTTGTCTGTCGTCCATGTGACCGACCTTTCTCCTTGGCGATCTTGGCGTAGATCCCCACGGCGATGAGGGCGGAGCTCACAACCTGCAGAGTCACACAGAAGCAAACAGACAAGATGACATCATGGTGACATCAGATATGTGTAATTCAGTTTTGACTCTGAATAGTTGCAGATTTCTCCCACTTCATGATGACAGCGGACGTTGGTCCAGTAAACATCTGAGTCCACAGGTGAAAACTAATTCAAAGTATCTGAATCACAGTTTGACTCGAATGAAAGTTAATGATATCTCTAATCATCTCCAGTGCCTTTTAGTATGAATCCTTTATAGATGCTAAATTGTCTGTAGTTATATATGATCCAAAGCCTTTCAGCTAGAAAGTGGCAGCAACAGACATTTAGAGCGCCACCCAGTGTACGATGCTTAACTTTTAGAAAGTTAAGGTAATGCAGCGTGGTCTTGTTTCGTCCTGTCCATCAAAACGAAGACGCACCTGGTGAAGGTGTCAAAACCTGATTTGCTGCTGTTTGACTCGCTCGAGCGTAAATAAAGAATCTGTGAAACGTCAACGACGACAGTCTGAAGACGAGTCGACACAAGTTTCTGTGAATCTGTGAACATGAAGTTAAACTCAGCGTTGTTCAGTGTAAACTTTAGATTAAACAGTGAATGGTTTTATAGTGTTGAAATGTTTTCTGATCCTCCTCTTCCTCGTGTTGGGTGTTGACCCTTGTGCTGTCAGAGTGGGTGTGGCTGAAGGTCTCGGATGTGAGGTGGTGGTCAGGTGTTTGGACGGAGACTCACCCAGAAGACGTAGCAGCAGACGAACAGCGTGTACTTGATTCCTCTGTATCCTCTCATCTCCTCTCAGCAGCTTCGTCCCCTCACACTGAGGAGACGTCTGATTCCTGTTGACATGACGGCAGGTCGACGTGTGGGGGCCTGCACGATGCATTCCTCCCCAGAGGCTCAACCAATCCTCTTCACACCTTCTGGTTTTACTGAAGTCCTGTTAGCGCCGCCTGGAGGCTGTGGTGTTCATTACAGCCACAAAGGGAACATCACTCAGAAGAGCTCATTCCTCCATCACTGCATCAAATCACACAAATATCAGTTCTCTGAATATCCAATGATTCAAATCAAGATCCATCCACAATGTTAAAGAGAGAGATTCAAAGTTCTTGGATCTGCATCAAAGTTATATTTGCTCATGGACACAATTAACATAAAATAACTAATGAAACCAAACTGATGAGAAACACTTAAACAAACATCAGAGAAGAGAACGAGCTGAAACAACACAAACATTTATTTAACGTCTACTTTGATTTTCAGTTTGGTCCATGTCCCATCTGCTAACATGGAGGAGGCGGAGTTTTCGTGGCAATTCTACAATCCCACTCTGACAACGAGGAACGAGACAAGAATCTTTTACAGTATTGTCACAAGACAAAGGTTGGTTTGTGATGTGCACACGATGGGAAGCTGCCCCCCCCCCTCAGAATCCTCTGATGACATCAGGGCAACGATGTGATTGTTGTTGAGCCAATCAGGTGAAGATTCAATCAGCTGCACAGGATTCAGCAGGATCACATTGTAAAGATTCAATCATGATCAATCACAGAGGAAATGAACATGAGACATTCTGCATGATCAACATTTCCCTTACAGAGTTTATGATCTGTACTGCAGCCAGACACCAGGGGGCGATGTTAACCAATGGCTTCACATCTCTCCTCCCTTTCCTCCCTCTCTCCTCCCTCTCTCCTCCCTCTCTTCCTGTATTAATCTGAGGATTACTCACTGTGTTGTATTCTCTCTGGCTGCTCTCCTGTGACCCCTCAGCTGTTTGAGGACCTGACTGAGGACCATGGGTCTGCTGAACATCTTCTCTTCTATCAAAGAGCGAGCAGAGAAGTTCCTGAATGAGAAGAACGTGGTGACAGACTTTCTGGGGAAAGTGGAGGAGAAGACGGGGATAAAGAAAAAGCTCATTGCAGCAGGTACATGACTAGTTCATCTTGTTGTACAGCTCCTGAGGGACAGGTCCTGTTGGTCCTGTTGGTCCTGTTGGTTCTGTTGGATCTGTGGGTTCTGTGGGTTCTGTGGATTCTGTGGGTCTAGCTGCCTGTTAGATGGAAACTGAAGAGGATTCACTTAATCCTCTTTCAACATGAGAGCACATGGCGGCTGCAGACTCTGCTGTGAGCAGCTGCTGCTCAACCTGAACTGTTGGTGGGTCAGGAGCTGCAGCTCGTTCTCTGGGTTTAAAGTTTCAATCTTTCATAATCATCGTTCACATGAAGATGGATCCAATGACTGTATGTTCTCATCTCACCTGCTCTGTGGAGCTTTCAGCTTCTTTCAGCTTCTAGTTTTAGATTTTCAGCAAAACCGTCACAACATCGTTCCTCACATGTTCCTCACATGTTCCTCACATGTTCCTCACATGTTCCTCACATGTTCTGTATGACAGAACAAATGTCTGAGTCAGAGTCTCTGGACATGTTCTGGATCTTCTCCTGCAGCCTCTAGTAAAACGTCTGGAACCTTCTCAGTGAGCGAGTGGGCGTGTCTCTGAGGTTTCTAACACGTGACGTGAAACTGAAGACACAAACGTCTCAGGATGAAGAAGAGGAGCCGTAGAAGACGAAGACGTCCACTTGGAAAGACGAGGAGGTTCCAGATGTTTTGGTGATGAGGGCCGACGCCGTGTGGACGAGCTGTAAACAACAACACTGATCTTTACACAGTTTAGACGCCATGTCCCGCCTCCTGCTGCTCTACAGGCTCCACCCCTCACCTGAATGTCCCCACATGTTCCTGTTGTGGACGAGTCGACAATCTGCTACACAACATGTCTACACAACATGACTACACATTTCTACACAACATGACCACACAACATGACCACACAACATGACTACACAACATGTCTACACAAATGTCCACACAACATGTCTACACAACATGACCACACAACATGACTACACAACATGACTACACAACATGACYACACAACATGACTACACAACATGACTACACAAAATGTCTACACAACATTTTACACAGCTCGTGTGGAAACAGCTTCAGCCTGGTGGACAGAAGAACATGTAGCAGCTGAAGAGCCTGATGTTCCCTCAGGAGGTGGTGGAGACCAAACTGTGGTAAAACAGAGACGAACAGCTCCTGAAGCGTCGTGTTGACGTGTAACTGATGATGTGGAGACAAACAGTTTGTGGAGCAGTTTGAGGATCAGACCTTATTTCAGAGATTCTGTCTAACATCAAGTATTCAGAGACTTTCTCTCAGGATCTGAAACGTGTTTCTGATCAGTCTGATTGTTGATGGTTCAGGGGATTGATCTCATGTTGATGGATGAAGATAAGAATTATTGTGAGAATCAGGCTGAACGTGAACAGTCTCTGTGGAGAGAGAGGAGTCTTTCTCAGGCCTGATGGGAAATGTAGTCCTTACAGAGAGTTCTGGATCCATCCCACATGGACTGATTGTGACTGAGCCTGATCTCAGCTGCTTGTGTCTGTGCCGTCGTTCTTTAACTCACAGCTGCTGAGGGTCGGACTCGGATGTTTCTGTCTGAACGTCATTTACCACCTTTATTAAACTAATGTCAACGGATGAGGTCAAAGGCCACGTGTTGTTTTCTGGATCCAACCTTTCTGATCAGACATGAAGCCCTGAGCTCCACAGTGTTGTGTTTCTGAGCAGGGAACAGCAGTCTATTCATGCGGTGCATCGGTAACACACACAGACACACACACTGTGGGAGGACATGATGTCAGTGTTGTGCCTGGTGCACACTGTTCCCCGGTGTGTGTGTGAGCGGTAAAGTTAAAGCAGATTATCGCTGGAGTCCGGCAGCAGAGCAGAGCGGCCTCCATGTGTGAACAGCAACATAAGCTGATCAGAGGTAGGAAGCTTTTTACACAACTTCCTGTTTGTGTGTGAACGTCTGCAGCGTTTCAGCTGAGGCCGCTCGCCTCTTTCAATCTGTCACTGGTTTCCATGACGACCTGAGACCGTTCAGTGACTGTGTCGATCGTAGATTCATCGATGTCAAGGTGTTGTTGAATTCGTCCATATCAATATATTTATATATACATATACACATGAATATATGTCTCCTGTGTCTCATCCAGGTGCCGTCTCGCTGACTGGTCTCTATCTGATGTACGGATATGGGGCCTCACTCGTCTGCAACCTGATTGGTTTCGTCTATCCAGCGTATTTTTCGTGAGTTGTGTTTCCGTCCTTTTCAGACGTCTTTCTTACCCCAAAACTTCATGACTCTGTCGTCACTACACTAATGATGTAAAAGGCCTGACGTGTTCCTGACATGTTCCTGACGTGTTCCTGACATGTTCCTGACGTGTCTTTGATGTGTTCCTGACGTGTTCCTGACATGTTCCTGACGTGTCTTTGATGTGTTCCTGACGTGTTCCTGACGTGTTCCTGATGTGTCTTTGATGTGTTCCTGACGTGTTCCTGACATGTTCATGATGTGTCTTTGATGTGTTCCTGACGTGTTCCTGACATGTTCATGATGTGTCTTTGACGTGTTCCTGACGTGTTCATCACGTGTTCCTGACGGGTTCTGTATGTGAGAACACAAATGTCTAAATCAGCGTCTCTGGATATTTTCCGTACCTCGTGCATTAACCCTCACGTCAGCTGTTGTTGATGTGAGATCTTGTTTAATTTTCATTCTTTCATTCCAACTGGAGACGACTCACTGTCTCACTGGTCTCTGAAGCTTTTATCTGTTGTGATATTTTTGAGTTGTGTTGTGTAACTCATATTCTCTGGTCTCATTTGTGACGGCAGCAGAAACGTTTGTGTTTTCAATATATCATCTTCTGTCATTAAACACGGTTCCTAATAATCTGAATGAGTTCAACACTGGAACGACTGGGGGGGGGTCACATGTCGGTGTCATGCTCGTCACATGTTAGAACCTTCTCATGTTTCCTTTTGTATCTGCAGAATCAAAGCCATTGAAAGTCCGAGCAAAGAAGACGACACAAAATGGTTGACGTACTGGGTGGTGTATGGCGTCTTCAGCCTGGGCGAGTTCTTCTCTGATATTTTCCTCTACTGGTTTCCATTCTACTATGCTTTTAAGGTGAGGAGACACATGAACTGACTGACCAATGAGAGGAAAGACTCAAAGACAGGAAGTAACACCACAACAGACACAGAAGAGCTGTCATTCCAAAATAAAACAGGAAAAGATCACAACAGTTCTGCTCTAAATGTTGGTGAACAATAGAATTTTATTGGGTTTTATTGGATTCTGCAGCTACTCTAACAAGCCCCCTAACAAAGCCAGCTTCATACATTTGATTTGTCACATGACATCATGATGACAACAGGAAGCAGCTGTCAGAGGTTATGGGCGGAGTATATCTCACCTGGTAGAACTGCAGCATCATCCCCCTTCCACCACTAAATCTCTGTCCTTTCGAATAAAGCCCAAAAAATATATACTTGAAAAGAAAAAGCCGACCAATCACAGCAGAGTGAGATTCATTAGTTTGAAACCAGGTGAAGTGAAACTAAAGTCCTGATTCAGTGAGTCCAGTAAACCTGGTGTGTCCGTCCTCAGTGTCTCTTCCTGTTGTGGTGCATGGCCCCGATGTCATGGAACGGCTCCCAGGTCATCTACAACAGAGTGGTGCGTCCCGTCTTCCTCCGCCACGAGGCCACGGTGGACAACATGGTGAGCGACCTCAGCGGGAAGGCCATGAACGCCGCCGAGAACCTCACCAGAGAAGGTACTGAGCACTTTGACCACAGCGGTACAGAGCTTTGTCAAAGTGAATAACCTCTTGTCTCCGCCCCTTTCGTCAGTCCTGTCATCTCTGGTGAAGAACAAAGCTCTGGTGACTCCGATGCCGCCAGTCACTCAGTCTGAAGCTAAAAGTTTACCGAGTTCATCGACGGAAACATCAGCAGCTATAAGAGCTACGTCACAACCCAGTGAAGAACGACCGGTACGTACCTGCTTCCTCCTCCTGCTTAAATAGTTCCTCTTGAAGAGCTCATTTAAACTCAGCACGAGAACCGAGGTCATGTGACCACATCTGAGGGCAAAGGTCACAACGTCTATGAAGAGGAAAGAGTTAAGTCTCATTCAATGTAAACGTTAGATACAGAAACGGATGGAGCCTCCTATTCGTACATTTTGTTCGCGTCTTCTGAAAACTTACGGACACGGAGCAAAACAGATCAATCGGAGCAAAACCACTGGAAATCTTCAAGTGAGACGACCATAATAATACAATAAGACAGGGAAATACTTTGTGGGTTAGGACATTGGACCATTGCTATTTACAATGCAGCCGCTTTATTATTTAATTTACACAACCTCCTCCACCGGAGCCACATTTGTATTTTAAACTCAAATCTGTGCTGCCCTCTAGTGGATGTATTGCTTGTCGTCTCACTACGAGTGAGATGATTGTTTGTCCATCAACATGATCTATTATCAGGTTTCTTATCATCAGGTTCCTGCTCTCCACAGGATGAATCCTTGATAGTTTAATGCCACTGTGACCTTTTGTCCTAGCACCACCTGGTGGACAAATATAATGTTATAGCTGAAATATGAGTCATTAGAGGTAAAATTTACAGTTTTTATTAAATCCCCAGGGAAACAGAAGTCACATGTTTGATTCCTCATGTGTCTGAAGACATTTGTACAGTTTTACAGTAAGAACAGACGTGAGGAAAGTATTAACTCCTGTGTCCTCTCACCTGTTCCAGCCTTTCCTGGGTTAACAGTCCGGTAAGTCCGCTGGTTTGGTGTTGGCGTGTTGGACTCACTGTGACTGTGGTGTTGGCGTGTTAGACTCACTGTGACTGTGGTGTTGGCGTGTTAGATTCACTGTGGTGTTGGCATGTTGGCCTCACTGTGACTGTGGTGTTGGTATGTTAGACACAATCAGGGCTGTGAGGGATTAGAGATAAAGGATCAAGAACCAAGACCAGAGACACCAGAGACGTGAACACCTTTGAAAGACACCTTGAGACTTTAATTTAGTCTTGTTGTTGATTTTTTTTTTTTTTTTGTGTGTATGTGTTACTGTCTGTGTGTGTGTGTGTGTGTGTGTGTGTGTGTGTGTGTGTGTGTGTGTGTGTGTGTGTGTGTGTCCTCAGGATGAAGTCCGTGTTGACTGACGGTAAGATGATCACACATGTGACGAGTAGAAAACTTTAGATTTGTCCTGTTCTGTTTTTCTCTTGACATTTTAAATCTCTGACTCTATGTTCATGGGACTTTTCTAGAATTATTGTTGAAAACTGTAAATTTAACTTAGTACAAATATAAAGCAAGCTGAAGCCCCTCCCCTGTTGTC